TCTTCCTACCTGGACTAGACAGTCCTTGTTCTGAAGGTGTTCTGGGCTAGTGCATGTAGGTTAGTCATTCACTCTCTTTTTCCTCATTGTTTACTAAGGCTGTTTGAAGAAGATATTGGATTTGGCTTTGAAAAAGATAGATAGGAAAAAGACAGATTTTATCTTGACATATTGCAAAAAAAAGCTTTCAAATGAAGAGCATGATTTGTGAGAGTTCTGAGAGTGTGGGTAGCTGTAAAGTAAAAGTAGACGTCTGAAACAATGTTGATTTAACTAGGCTGAAGGATGTGAGAGATAAGAGGGGAGACAGCTGAGGCTAGAATTAGGGAAAACATATTACAGAACTTTAAAAAGAAGAAAATGTCATTTACTTGTAGGTAGAAGGCTGAATAATTGTGGAGACAGATTATTTTACTATGGGCTTAAATGAAGTCATGCAAATGAACTTTATACCACTACCCAGGGTAAGGTAATGGGGGTATTGTATTAAAGTTCCCTATGTAAAAAAAATAAATAAAATAAAATTTCCTATGTAGTAAATAACAAAAACTATACCCAGAGATCATAGAGAGGTCTGCTTATTAGAAACAGAATAAAATTCATACTAATAAGAATGTTGATATTTCTAGAAGTACGTTGTCCTACAAGTTTGCTTAAACTGTTTCAGACTGGCCAGGGAGAGGAAGAAGCACTAACAGGCATGATGTGGTCAAAATTTAAATAAAGAGGTAGGACGCGTCGGATTGTGTAACTCTGGTGATAGCACATTGAGCTGAAGGAAAAGGACTTAGAAAAAAAGGTGAATATTGGTTATTATCAACTAATGGTAATAACCTAAACTCTTAAAGTCTTAAAAAGATAATCTACATCTTTGACTAAAAGGGAGAGGCAGTCCAGGATGGAGAAGTGTTTGGGGGACCAGTATGATCTCAGGCTGTTTTATAAGCCTGGAGAATAAGAGATCATGCTTAAGAGGTTTCATAGCCTTGGAGGTGGTAAGTAATCAGAGTGCTGGGGAAGATCTATGACCAGAGCCTACTAGGCATTCTCATTGTGCAGTCACACCCTCTAGAATGCTGGGGTGAGTGGTGGGGTAACTAGAGAAACAGCCTGTGCAGCGGATGATGGTTGACTAAAGTGGAAAGGTGGCAACAGCACCACCCTGGCCTGACCATTGAATCAGCTCCATAGCCAGGGTCTCTGCACACTCAGCTCTAGGTAGAGACTTGTTCAAGCCATTCACACATAAGGTCACAAAGGATATATTTACGGGTCCACATGGAGGTGAGTGTCTCCTTTCTTTCCATATTTCTCTGAAAATGAAGAGTAACCCCATGAGATACTGGTAACCAAGGGTTGCTCCGAATGGGGCAACAGGATTGACAGAGCCCAGGAGGTAGGAGCTGAGATCTCCCTAAAAAGTTGAAATTTTGTGAGCCAACTTTAACTCTGAATTTCATCCAGATTATGAAATGATGACAGTAATTACTTTGCCCTGTTGCCTTGTCTACTTTTAATATGTTCTGTTTTGCCCCATGTGTTATAGGTCCCTTTTCATCATCATCTGAACTTCCCTGACAGCTCACTATCCCCTACCCCTTCACTCCGCACCCACCCCCCACCTTTCCTGCACACACTACCCCCATTAATTATCAGATCTTGGGAGGTCCTGCTAACCCCAGGGCCAAACTATAAATTGTTTTTTACTCACTTCTCAGCATACCTGAGACCAAGCTGGAATACTGAAGCAAAACTGTACTGAAGGCTTGGATATGACAGAAAGAAGGCTCCAGCAACTAGATTGTCAGATGACAGATTGTTGCCCAGTCTCTTCAGTTTGGATTCTCCTGTCGTGTCACTCCTCTGGCAGGGGCTGGCTTCTCCCTCTCTCTCCACTCTTTCTTTAGAAGTAAGACATGAGAGAGGTCAAAGCCTCCTTAAGTTCACTTTCAGAATAGGTCACTGCCCAGAAGGAATCAAGTCTAAAGTTAATGTACGTTTCTTCTCCAAGTTTTTGCACTTTAAAGATTTATTTTTTTCATTAATTTATTTATTTTTATTGAAGGCTAATTACTTTACAATATTATAGTGGTTTTTGCCATACATTGACATGAATCAGCCATGGGTGTACACGTGTTCCCCATCCTGAACCTCCGTCCCACCTCCCTCCCCACCCCATCCCTCAGGGTCATCCCAGTGCACCAGCCCGGAGCACCCTGTCTCATGCATCGAACCTGGACTGGCGATCTATTTCACATATGATAATAAACATGTTTCAGTGCTATTCTCTCAAATCATCCCACCCTCACCTTCTCCCACAGAGTCCAACAGTCTGTTCTTTACATCTGTCTCTCTCTTGCTGTCTTGCATATAGGGTCATCGTTACCATCTTTCTAAATTCCATATATATGTGTTAATATACTATATTAACGTATTTCTGACTTACTTCCCTCTGTATAATAGGCTCCAGTTTCATCCACCTCATTAGAACTGATTCAAATGCATTCTTTTTGATAGCTGAGTAATATTCCATTGTGTATCTGTACCACAGCTTTCTTATTCATTTGTCTGCTGATGGACATCTAGGTGGCTTCCATGTCCTGGCTATTGTAAACATGCACTTTAAATTTATGTATGTAAACAGACAATCTATGCAATGTTGCTTTTTATAAAAATCTGCATACGTAAATCATAGGTCATATACAAATCCTTCCATGTTTCTATTCACAATTGTTTTTTCAAGATTTTCTCTGTGTATTAGTGCTTATAGTTCTAATTCATTCATTTTTATCTGTATCTCATTATGTGAATATATAATTTCACTTTCAGTTTCCTTATAGATGACTATTGAGACTGCTTTCAGTTTTTTGACATTATAAATAAGGCTGCAGTGTGTATGTATATATACATATATATATCTGCATATCTTTTTGTGTGTTGAGTATGTTTGAGAATTGCTTTAGATTATACCTAAAAGTAAAACTGCTGTAGGGTAGACATTGCTTAACTTTGCTCGAAGTTACCAAATTATTCTCCAGAGTAGCTATTCCTGGTTACTGCATACCAACAGTGTATGACAGTTCTTATTTCTCTACACCTTGGCTAACAGCATTATATGACTTAAAATTTTTTGCCATTCTGGTATATATGAAATTACATCGTATTGAATTTAATTTGCACTTCCCTGTCTGCTAGTAGAGTTAATATCTTCCTCCTCAATTTTCTTTAAGAGCATCCTATTTATTTCTTTCACAATACTGATCACAAGCTGTTGTTATGGTTGGTTGGTTTTTTGTCTGCCTCCCGTGTAGAGCATAATCTCTGCGAGGGCAGGGATCACATCTCTCTTGCTCACTGTTCTGTGCCCAGAGCTCAGCCCAGGGTCTGGTAGTAGGGGTTCAGTAGATGCATAGTTGTTTAGTGAATGAGCCTGGTGGAGAGGTTCCTCACTAAGTCTGACGCTGTGTGTTAGCCTCTCAGTCACGTCTGACTGTGTGTGACCCCATGGACTGTAGCCTGCCAGGTTCCTTTGTCCATGGAATTCTCCAGGTGAGAATACTGGAGTGAGCTGCCATTCCCTTCTCCAGGAAGTCTGACCACCACAGCAACAGGAATTTGTGTCTCTAGATTCCCTCATCTAAACCCTGTTCACAGTACCTGATTCTCTCCTTCATTTCTTATTTCCCTTTTTCAAGCCTTTGAATAGGAGATAGCAAGCAGTAATAGAGAAGAGCAGAAATACTGAGTCATTTGTGGTTTGATTTGAAAGAGATATCTGCTCCAGCCTGGGACCTATAATTTGAGATGCACTGATGTTCAACTAGTGTAAGATTTATCTCTGCCCTACATGAGTGAAGAAACCAAGGCTCTGTTGAGGTTTATTGTTAGGTTGGAAGACCTTTGCCTTTGTTAGGATTCTTACTAACAGTTTATCTCATCTACCGTAAGACTTCCTGAGATAGGTAAAGACTGTCAGCAAAATTCACTAGGCTAGGCATGATGATGTATTTTTAAGAAACATAGATATTGAAGAAGACTAGAATAAATTTCAGTTACTTTTCCTACAGTCTTTATTTTCCACCCAGCCACTCTTAACACTGTCCCAGCACCTCTGACTGCATCTTGTCCTGGCTTTATTCAGTTCCTGAGCTCTGCTCTAACTACATCTTAAATTTTACTCATTGCCTTGGTTATGATCCTTTGGGATGCAAGGAACAGACCCACCCAAATAGCTTAAACCAGAGGCAGTCCAGAAATGTTTCAGAACTTAATGGCATACACAGTTGGAATCAGGAATCAGAGCAGTAGAAATGCCTATTTTAAGCTCCGAAGTTTACTTCTCTTTTCAAGAGAAGAACCAAACTAAGGATGGAATCTCTTAGTCCCAATTACACATTCTTAAAGAAGGACTTAGCGTGGACCAAATGTTCACCTGACTCCAGTGAACTAACCATAAGGTTACAGTCTGCAAGCCAGGTGGCCAAGAGCACTTCCTGTGCTGTATGGATGACACAGAAGGTCAACTCCCAGGGAATGAGAGAGATTTTAAATAGACAAATTCATAGGTGCTACCGAATTTGTCAATTGCTGAACATGCATTGAGAGGATCTGAAACCTCTATACTCAGCAGCTTCTTCATATCTTCTGCTTCCTTCACTTGCCTTTCTCCAGGTCTTACCTGGCTTCTTATTCAACTTGCTGATCTCACCATAGCCAGTTGTGAATATATTGTTGAAGTTGTGAAGCAGATACCCTGGCTTCCCCCACTTAAGAATGTGAACTTTGTAGATAAGGTGCATTTTTCTCTTCATTTGTTTGTCTGTTTATCTGGAAAGAATTAAAAAGTAGGAATATCCTGTGTAACGTATATCTCTAGTAGGCTTATGGTTCAGTCCTGCCCCAGTTAGTGGGAAAAAGTGGTGAATCGGGTATCGTGAAACTTCAGCAGCCTGGGCAGTCCATTCTGCCCTTGCTGAGACCTTTTCATTCTCTTGTTACAGGAACATGATATAGAAACAACTCACGGTATGGTCCACGTCACTATCAGAGGCCTGCCGAAGGGAAACAGACCAGTCATTCTGACATACCATGACATTGGCCTCAATCGTATGTATTTGATTTTATACCATTCCTTTTTGTTATAAAACTTAATCTTTGTGTATTTTTTAAAAACACAGAAGAAACCCCAGCATTCTAATAGAACATAGGTTTTCTCCTCTCTGCCTTATCCTCATTGCTACTTGTGTTAATGGCAGAATTGAAGTTTCTGGGAAGTATGCAGCTGAGTGTATTTTGGGGAATACTGGGATTATATCTCATTTTGTGTCACATCTGCTAAAGGACTGAAGAATATATGATAGACTGGTTAAGAAAGTAGGGTTGAAATCAGTTTTTTGTTTTTAATTGATACTCTGGGTTTTTTCATATTTCAGGTTAGAAAATTCAGAATTTGAGCTTAACTTTGTTATCAGCCCTTCAATGAGTTAGTGAAAGTATTCTTGCTATAGCCTGTCCTTGATGACTCTAAATGGACCTTTCTAGGTGGTAATATAGGCTTCCCTGGTAGCTCAGAGGTTAAAGCGTTTGCTTGCAATGCGGGAGACCCCGGGTTCAATCCCTGGGTCGGGAAGATCCCCTGGAGAAGGAAATGGCAACCTACTCCAGTATTCTTGCCTGGAGAATACCATGGACGGGGGAGCCTGGTAGGCTACAGTCCACGGGGTCGCAAGGCGTCAGACACGACTGAGCGACTTCACTTTCACTTTCAGGTGGTAATGTGAGATTCTGGCCCTAGCCCTGGGTCCGTGGAATCTGCATGACATGTGTTTCTTTCGCACTCCTCTGTCAGAGGTGACCTGCATTTGAGGTTACAATCTAGTGCTGGAGCTTTTGAAAAGGAATTTAAGCAGTAACCCCTCCCTGCACCTTAGCAGTTTTGCCACGAGAGGTTTTCCACATGGTGAATGTAAGCAGCAAGAAACTCACTTTTAGTCAGGCTCCTGGGATATGGTCAGTATCTCTGTATCAGGTAGGGAATAAGATGTATGAAAAATGACAGTGTTATGGGTATAAGATTGTTTTGTGAAACACCAGGATTGGCTTCCACTCTGTAGATGTTCTGTAGAATTGAGGACTAATTAAATGTTCTTTTCAAGCCATTGAGATGTCTGATAGTCAGCCTTTAGGGCAGCTTGAGTCAGACAGATTGTTCAGATACTTCATTTTAGTGAAATAGTGGTTAAAAAGGAGTAAGAGAGGACGATGATATGGAATTGACTGAATAGAGGAAAAGTGAGGCGAAATGAAGAGCTTATGACTTATGTGTGTTTTGCTCTTACAGATAAATCCTGTTTCAACGCGTTCTTTAACTTTGAGGACATGCAGGAGATCACCCAGCACTTTGCTGTCTGTCACGTGGATGCCCCAGGCCAGCAGGAAGGTGCACCGTCCTTCCCAACTGGGTAAGGCCACAAGCAAGACCCTCTGGAGAACAGGCACTCAGAGAGTAAAGCTCCAGTGGGAGCACTAGCCATGTGCTTCCCCCCAAGCCAGTTTTAGCACTGCCTGCAGGTCATACTTGTCAACCAGCCATCTAGTTGCTTTCTCTCCTCGCTCTGGGAGAACTGTCATAGACAGTCTATTCAGGAAGACTGTATGTTCCCATACCCAGGAATGGCCCTCCATAAATGGGAGCCAGTCACAAGACATTCATGTCTGAAACACCCACTTCTTACTGTCTTCTTCTTTTTTTTTTTCTTACTGTCTTCTATCTGTCCCTTTCTTCATCTGTTTTAAACCTGTCATTTTTGTCCCCTCCTGGAACTCACAACTCCCTTTAGACCCAAACTCAGATTTCTCTGAGCTTCCTGAGAGCACCTCCCCAGCCTGACCTTCAGTCTGGTGACAGGAATTTGAATATCAGCGTAATCATTTATTCAGAGAAGCTACAGTGTCAGGTGGAGGTGCATCTGACTGAACGTGCACATGGAGCTCTCAGCCTCAACCTCATCTGCTTTGCATGGCCGAGCCCCAGTCTCCCTGACTCTTCCCTGGACAGTGTAATTATGGAGGAGATCTTGGGGGAGTAGTGAAACCACAAGCTGTGGAATGCTCATCCTTCCCCTCTTTGCTTATCTCCAGAGCTGCCTTTGCCAGTGATTGCTGTGAAACAGACCATTGCAGACGAATAGCAGCTAACACTTACTCTGTAACTCAGGCAGTAATCTTGAACACTGCATTACATACTTGACCCATTTAATGCTTAAAATCCTATGGGATATGTTTACTATTATTCCCATTTTACAGGTGAGGATACTAAGGCCCAAAGATATTATGTACTTTGTCCAAGCCTACGTAACAAATAAGTAGCAGAGCTGGGATTTTAACGTAGGCAGTCTGGCTCCAGAATCTGTTATTCACTATGTCCAAGCCATGTCTGTCCCTTAAACACAAATTGGCCAATGACCAGTTTATATCCAGCAAAATTTAGATACAGTTCCTTTTTTCTGTTTTATGCACAAATGGCTCAAAAGCATGCCAGTGCTTGAACTGTTTCAAGCAGAGGCAGGCTGACATCCCTGTCAAATGTAGAGCAGATAATGCCACATATGTATGAAGTTGTCTTAAGATCTCGTTCATCTTTGATGCTGCAGTTTATGTGGACACTCTACTTTTCTTGGATTCTTGGTCTGATTCTTGGTCTTTTCTTGGATTCTTGGGCTTGCTTGACCATCTTAGGATCTAGTGGCTTAGATCAGGAACCACATTCAAAAGCAAATAATAAAGTAGCTGGGTTATTCTATGCCTAAGTGAAACAAATCAGCCTTCATGATAAGAGCCCAGGATTTGTGACCGTATGTGCCCTAGGCACAGTAAAGGTTTGTTTACTTTTGTGCTTAGCTGCCTAAACATAAGCAGCCGACCAAAAGCCACTTCCTGAGTTGACTGTCACTGCTAGAAGTTTACTGAACCTGAACCCCAACTGAAGTGGTTATTTGGGGATTAGAAATACCTAAGAACTCTGTGGGCTTCCCTTGTGGCTCAGCTGGTAAAGAGTCATCCTGCAATGTGGGAGACCAGGGTTTGATCCCTGGATTGGGAAGATCTGGAGAAGGGAAAGGCTACCCTCTCTAGTATTCTGGCTTGGAGAATTCCATGGACTAGTCCATGGGGTTTCAAAGAGTTGGACATGACTGAGCTACTTTCACTTTCACTTTCAAGAACTCTGTACTTTTCTAACTGTTCTAGTGATTGGGAATTGTGAGTGCATTCCAATTCAGGAGGTATCCTTCTGGATTTCAGGTACCAGTACCCCACCATGGATGAGCTGGCCGAAATGCTGCCTCCTGTTCTCACCCACTTAAAGTGAGTTCATTCTGCAATTCTTCCATATGGTTTTTGTTTTTCAAAAAAACACTTTCTGCTATGTGTCTGATCTGGGTGCTATGATGGTAATCAAACCAGTATGGTCACTACCCTTGTGGAGTGTGAAGCTTACATTTTGGTATGGAAAATAATTAACAATAGGTAAACAAACAAATAGTCACAGCTTACATGCTATAGAAGAAATCAGTAGGGATGTGTGATAGAGAATAAAAGCAGGCTCTACCAGATATGCCTAACTGAGGAATTCCTCTCTAAGGAGTCCTTTAGGTTAAGACCTGGAGTATAAAAAGAAGTTACCTAAATAGAGAGCCAGGACAAGAGGATTCCAGACAGAAGGAATATGTCCAAAAGGCCTGACCCAAGTGAGCAAGTGGGAGAAAAGCATAAGATGAAATTTGAGAAATAAAATAAGAACTGGAATTCACAGATCTGACAGATTAGGTGAGACTTCAGGATTTTAATCAAAAGGCAAAGAAAAACACTGAAGAGTCTTATGCAGGGGAGTGCTATGTGATTTAGTCTTTTAAAATGATCGTTCTAGATATGTAAACTGCACATCAATAAAGCCATTTACATTTTTCTTTTAATTACTCTAAAGACTTCCCTGGCAATCCAGTGGTTAAGATTCCATGCTTCCAACATTAGGAGCACGGGTTTGCTCCCTCATCAGGAAACTTAAGATCCTGCATGCCGCATGGCACAGCCAAAGATAAATAAATTACATATTGCCAGAAGGAACATTAAAAAAAAAAGACTAGCTGTGGAGAGAATTTGCACAGGTTTAGAGAGGGGTAGAAGAGAAAAAGCAAGGGACCAGTTAAACTATTACAACAATCAGGCAAGTGATATTGATAGCTTGGCACTAGATGCCTCCCAGAGGATGGAATGGAGTAGGAGAAGGCAGATGGAAGGACTGTGAAGGTGACTATAGGACTTGCTGATGGGTTGAGTGTGGAGGTGATAGGAGAGTGAGCTGTCAAGGATGACTCCTATGTTTTAGTCATATTTCACATAATCTTTAAAATCAGCTTAGAAATCATCATATCCTTGTTTTATAGATAGGGAATCCAGGCTTAGGAAGTTAATGAAACCTAACCAGATTCTCCATCCAGTAAGCATCAGAGCCAGATTTGAATCCAGTTGTCGTCTTTCCATTATACCATGCTCCCTTCAAAAGAGTTAACCTTATTCATATTGGTGTGTTCCATTTACAGTCTGAAAAGCATCATTGGGATTGGGGTTGGAGCTGGAGCTTACATCCTCAGCAGATTTACAGTAAGTACATGGAGGATTAGTCTCAACACTCTTGAGGCACTGCCTAGGTCACAGCTCTTACTGCTGTGTTAAATGAGAAGGAACTATTGTGGATCTTACATCTGTTTTTCTATAAATTCTGTCCACAGATACTGGTTTGTATAAAGCCTTGTTTTGTACTTCTAGCACCTAAAAAAATAAGAGGTGTGGGCAGGATATCATCAATAAAAAATAACTCTCAGAGAACATTTAGAGTGGAATTTCTTACAGCCATTAAAATTTTATAAGACGAGCTTATGATACATAATTCACATATATTACAACCTTAACAAAGAGGTTAGAATACAGATGCAGGTTAAGTTTGTCATAGGCATAGGGTAGAACTAGAAGAAAACATACCAAAATACTAGGATTGATTATGTGTAATTAGATAATAATGAGATTTTATTTCTGCTTTTCATAATTCCTCTATTTACCACATTTTCTATAGTGAGCATAATCAGTGGGGGAAAAGTAAGCTGGGAAGTTTTTAGTTTACATAGAAATGTTCTTACTGATTTTTCCCAAATGCCTCCTGGGTGATAGGACAATCTTCTGAGGGTGGTATTACCTCTTCATGCAGTTTTAGAAAAAAACAAGAAGTCACTACTGGGGACAGTCTAAGCCTTAACAGCCCATTATGTCATGTGGGCCCAAGGGCGCTGCCCAGGAGGGTAGACCCACCCTGAGCTAAACAGCCGTGGAGATAGCTGTGGCCATCCTCTGCTGTGGAAGTAAAAACCATCGCCCCATAGATCCTTGCAAAGCAACGCCATTTGATGGCAATTTAGGAAGTTGGTTTTCCACATGCTGAATTAGATTTATGGAGCTGTTTTTCTAAATATCCTCCCTAGCACCTCTCTGACCTTTTTTTTTTTTTTTTTTAGTTAAAGTTAATGATATTTTATATAAAGATATTTTATTCATAGTTCCTTAGTTTTACCTAATGACCTTTTCTCTCCAGGATCCCAAGCAGGACCCCACATTACACTTGGTCATCGTGTGTTCTTGGGCTTCTTGATTGATAGTTCCTTGGATGTTCCTGATTTTTGATGAGTCCTGGTCAGATATTTTGTAGAGTGTTCTTTAACTGAAATTTCTCTGAGAGTTTCCTCATGATTAGATGACTTTTTTTTAAAATCTGAGGCATCCAGGCCTAGGAAGAGTTGACTAGCCACACTCCAGTAGTTTTGGAAGAAGCTGAGAGTGGTGCTCTCATACTGTTGTCTTTGTCTCGTTTCAGCTCAATCATCCAGAACTTGTGGAAGGGCTTGTGCTCATTAACGTCGACCCTTGTGCTAAAGGCTGGATTGACTGGGCAGCTTCCAAAGTAAGACCAAGCAGTATCCTTTGGCTCATCCCTTGGTCCCTTCTCAGAATGGCTTATCTGTTTTTTATTTTTTCATTCATACAGTTAAGGGCAAGAAGTCTTAAGTATACAGCTTGATATGAATATTTACACATGTAATCACCAATCAGTCAATATACAGAATATTTCCAACTCTGTCCTTACTACTTCCTCCCTTTCCCAAAAAGAAACCATTATTCTGGTATCTATTACCATAGATTGATTTTGTATATTCAGAGTAATAGATGTGTTCTTTTCATATCTTGCTTCTTTCATTCATCATTGTCTGTGAGTCTGTCATGAATGGAATACTATGCAACTGAAAAATTATGGGTTTCTTTTTCTTGTTGTTTAGGGAAATGAGAAAATTCTCATGCTTAAAAAACAAAATTTTTTTAAAATACATATATGCATAAGAAAAGAAAAATGCTACTAGTAGTTACATCTTTGGTAGCATTGCAGATGATTCTTATTTTTATTTTATATATTCTATATTTTCCTAATTTTGCTTTGCTTTCATAGTTATTTTAAAATATTAAACTGTTCCATCTACCAGCAGACCAGATTCTGAAAAGTTTATCTGTTCTTCCCCACCTTTAACTTCCAGAGAAATTATGTATTTCCTAGCTTTGGATGAAATATATCAACATTGCTTTTGCCAGATATTCTGGAAATTCTTTCTTACAGCTGACTTCAAATTTGTTCTAATCCTGTCTAGTATGTGGTACATTAAAACTTATATGAACACTCTTAATAACATGATATAATCTAGGAAACATTCTTATAAAGCTTTAGAATGACATGATCAATATTAAATAGGTTATTTAATGATGTAATGAAATAGGTTATTCTAATTATCTTTAATTTATAACCTGTGGATCATTGATAACCCAGGTGAAGATTTCTGGGCTTCTTTCTTACTCTATCTTTCCGGGACTCCCTGATCCTGCTCCACCCATATCCGCGTCTGTCTCCCTTATCTCCTCTTCTCCATCTCCACCCCCAACTCAGTACTTTACCTCTGTGCCAAGTCCACAGTAGGAACTGAGCTTAAAATCAACAGAGAAGGTTTAAGGGAAATCAGCAACATAATGTGAGTTGGAAATTTTTCTGAAAATAGACTAACAGGCTGCAGATTTACACAGATTGATGCATTTATTAGACTGATGTGCATAGCTTTGACGTGGGGAAAATTAAGAGAAAAGCTTTCAAAACGCAAGAACATTCTGTAAACATAGCAGTTTCCTCCCACTCCTTGAAATGAAGATAGCAAAAACTAGAGGAAAGAAAGAAAATTGCTTTTTCTTTTGGATGACTTGGGGGTGGTTGTAAGTCTACCTTACTAAGCATAAACCCAGTGTAAATGCAGAAATACAGGTAGAAATTAAGTAGCTATAGTTGTGAGCTCTAGGTCCCACGTTCTCAAAGAAGTAACAGCCAGCATTTCTTCTACCACCTATTTCAGAGTAGGCCATATTATTACCCTAGAAGGAAGATTTTGTTTTTTCCTGACTTCTTTCTTGTTCTCAGATTTCTTGGGACCACTATCTCATGAAAATGTGTGACACTGAGTTATATTTTTTGTGTTTTTAAGCTCAGCATATTAACAAGAAAGTGCACTAATAAAGTGGACAGATTGATAAAATTTTACCCATGCTCACTCTCTTGACACAAAGTTTTTATCTTTTTAGCTCTCGGGCTTGACAACCAATGTTGTGGACATTATTTTGGCTCATCACTTTGGGCAGGTAAGTCCCTATTCCAGCCAGAAGAGGGGTGTGTTTATTGGCTTGTGTGTAAAGTCTTATTCACCTCAGGAAAGAAAGGGTTCCCTGGAACTCCCTTGATTCCAATGAGTTAACACTTTCAGTGCTGTGGGAGATGCACATGGCTCCCACCAAAGGCCAGTCTCAGAGGAGGGCATTAACTCAGTGGCACCCGGCTCTTGGCGTTTAGAGAGATGAGAGAAGGCAGCTCCCACCCTACCCCCAGCCCACTCCCTGTAAGCCGCACGCCATCTGTTCCTGTTTGACGACATCACGTGCCTCACCAAGCTTCTTTGGAGCCAAAATGAGGTCTGGGAAGAAGGGCTGCACAGAAATAGAGATTTCAGAGAAAATAAAAAAGTGCTAAAAGAACCTTTTGTTCAAATCCCATGTCTTTCTGGTAATGAAACTGAAGTCTATAGAGGAAATGCCAGTTATGTGGATAGCTGTTGGGTAAAAGAGGTCAGGACCCCAGTCCTCTCTTCAGAGAGAAAGTAAGTTGAGTAATAGAATTCCTGTCCCAATTACACTGTGTTTTTTCTGACACTACCAAAGAATTCTCAGACACCAGCTGGATATCCTGCGGCTCAGGTTGATGACACAGTCTACCTGAATATTGGTCAGCTCCCGCAGATTAGAGCTGAGTGCCAGTCACCGAGCCGCCAGCACTGCTCCCCCTTCCCCCACTTCAGCCACTCCAGGTGGTCACCTGTGCTTCTGGCCAACCAGCTATAGCTCAGAGGTTCCAATAGCCCCCTCCTTGGGTCCAGTTTGTCTTCTAGAGCTGCTCACAGAGAAACACTGTATTGACTAGACTGGCTTATTATAAAAGGACCTAACTCGATAACAGCTGAATGAGAGAGATGCCCAGAGCAATTGTATGGCAAGGGGCAGGGAGCTCCCCTGTCCTCTGGAATGTCCCAGTCTCTCAGAGTGGCCATGCATTCCCCAACCTGGAGGCCCTCCCACACCTGTCTTTTGGGGCTTTATGGTGGCTTTGTTACAGACACATGATTATGTGGCAGTCAATTCAACATTCACCTCCTTTACACCCCCGCCCCCGGAGAGAAGGGCAGGGTAGGGTTGAAAGTTCCAGCCCCCTACTCACAGGGACTGGTTCCATGTAGAAGTTACTTAGGGGCTTTCCTAAAATCCCATCATTAACCAAAAAAAGATTCTTTATCCGTCTCATCGCAAGGTTTTACAGAGCTCTGTGCCAGGAGGGGGATGAAGACCAAGTATATATTTCTTGCTATAAATAACAGCATCACAGATGACCTATGAAGGAGGGAGGGAATGAATGAGCAATGAGTGTGGAGAGCTGTGAGGTGTCTGGAGTTGGGATGAAAACTATAAGTAGGAGTAATGCATGCTCAACTGTCGCCTATGTATTAAAGGAAAATGGTCATTGTGGAGAAAATTAACATTTACTGAGTACTCATTCTGTGTAAAGTACTTTGACAAGTACCTTTTAGGCACAAACTCAGTTATTTTTTTCACGTGGTTCTATTAAACTTACTTTAAGATGGAAAAACTGAGGGCTAGAGAGGGAACATAACTTGCTCCAGTTGTCCAGCTAGCAAGCGGTCTGAATCCAAATCAGGCTCACTCCAAAGTCCATAGTTTTTTCTTTGATTGAGATTAATTAATTCAGCACAATTACAAATTCACATATATATATTTTTAACATTAAAAAGAATTATTTCTTTATTTTTGGCTGTGCTGGGTCTTTGTTGTTTTGTGCGGGCTTTCTCTAGCTCTAGAGTGAACGGGGGCTAGTTTGTTGTGGTGCACAGGCTTCTCATTGTGATGGTTTCTTTTGTTGAAGCATGGGCTTCAGGAGTTGAAGCATACGGGCTTAGTTGTTTTGCAGCATGTGGCATCTTCCCAGACCAGGGTTCAAACTCGTGTCCTCTGCATTGGCAGGTGGATTCTTATCAGTTGTGCCACGAAGGAAGCCCCCACATACATTTTAGAGCAGAGGAGTTCTGCAGGGCTTGATACAAAGAATCTGTTACTCACCCCATTTCTGCTTCTTAGAGGTAACCACTTTAATTCTTTTAGCAGATTCTTTGGGTTTTGCCTCATTAATTAAGGTATTATTTATGTTTAATAATGGACACAAATCTAAGTACATCTCAGTGATCTTTTATACATATACTCATGTCCATCCATCCTAAGTCACTTTAGTTACATCCGACTCTTTGTAACCCTATGGAGCCTGGCAGCTCCTCTGTCCGTAGGAGTCTCCAGGCTAGAAGTGGGTTGCCATGTCCTTCTCCAGGGTGTCTTCCTGACCCAGGGATTGAACCCGAATCCCTTATGTCTCCTGCATTGGGAGGCAGATTCTTTGCCACTAGCACCACCTGGGAAGCCCATACTCTCATGTAACCATCACCGAATCAAGATACAGAGCATTTCTGTCATCTCAAAAAGCTTCCCTTGTGCCCCTTCCTAATCACTAATTCCCCTCCCCAAACAAGTATTCACTGTTCTGTTACCTCTATAGATTATCTTGCCTGTTCTTGAACTTCATATAAATGTAATTACATAGTGTACACTCTAATGGGCCCAGCTTCTTTTGCTCAGTATAGTCTTTGAGATTCAAACCTGTTTTCCTATGCATCAGTAGTTCATTCTTAGATTCTGTGTAGCAGTCCATTGTTATATACCATGAATGTTCCTTTGAGCATTTGGGTTATTTCCAATATTTTGCTTTTGTTTTGCTATTATGAATAAAGCTTCTATGGACAGTCTTCAATCAGTTCAGTTCAGTCGCTCAGTCATGTCTGACTGTTTGCGACCCCATGGACTGCAACACGCCAGGCTTCCCTATCCTTCACCAACTCCCGGAGAATGCTCAAACTCATGTCCATTGAGTTGGTGATGCTCTCCAACCATCTCATCCTCTGTCGTCCCCTTCTCCTCATGCCCTCAGTCTTTCCCAGAATCAGGATCTTTTCCAGTGAGTCAGTTCTTCGCATCAGGTGGCCAAAGTGTTGGGAGTTTCAGCTTCAACATCAGTCCTTCTAAGGAATATTCAGGACTGATTTCCTTTAGGATTGACTGATTTGATCTCCTTACTGTCCAAGGGACTCTCAAGAGTCTTCTCCAACACCATAGTTCCAAAGCATCCATTCTTTGGTGCTCAGCTTTCTTTATGGTCCAGCTCTCACATCCATACATGACTATTGGAAAAACCATAGCTTTGACTAGACGGACTTTTGTCGGCACAGTAATGTCTCTGCTTTTTAACATGCTGTCTAGGTTGGTCATAGCTTTTCTTGCATAAAAAACTTCTTCTGTGAACATTCTTATATGTGTCTTTTTGGACATAAGCCTCAGTTCTGTTCAGTTGTCTAGCCTCTGTCTCTTTAAATATGCATGTATTTCCACCTGTTGGTTTTTCAGTTGTAGGCATTATCTTTGACATTCCATTATGAAAGATGATTTCTCTCATATTCACACATATACTGACACCATGTCCCTCATTTATGTTTTCTACTACTCCATCCTTCCAATATGACATGATTTGGATTAGATAAATTTCCAGCATTTATACTAGCATATAAATGTTATTCAGAGCTGAGCCATGACAGATTTCTTTTTCTATACATTTCTCCTTTACCAAGTGACAGTGTTAAAATTTTTAAATAAAGAACACCAGGGGGACACTGTAAGGTGATAGTAGCAGGAAAGCACTGCCATTTTTTTTTCTTTTTGCTGCACTGCATGAGGGGCTTTTGTTCAAGGATTGAACTCTCACCCCTTCAGTGAAAGCACAGAGTCTTAAACTGGACTGCCAGGGAAGTTCCTGTTCCGCCTTTTAAAAATATTTTAGCACAAGAATCAGGACTTGCCATACAGAAGACCTGGTGACACTCATCTCAGCCTCCTTCAGGTCACACTTTCTCTATTCTATGGGCTGTTTCCAAGGCTCAGTCAGGGGACAGAAGCTACATGCTTTGAGTAGAGAAAATTTCATGTAATATATCAACTAGTAGAAGGTGGCTTACTTCTTCAAGAGGTGAAAAAGGACTTTGAGGTGTCCAAAAGTAGCAGGTGGAAAAACAGCAGCTACTCCTAGGCTGAGGGGAGGAGAAGCAGGGGGCACAGAGAATATGATGGTTGGATGGAATCACCAACTCAACGGACCTGAATTTGGGCACACTCCGAGATACAGTGAAGGACTGGGAAGCTGGGCGTGCTGCACTCCTTGGGGATACGGCTTAGCGACTGAACAACAACTCCTCTTAGGCCACGGAAATGTGAACACTGAAGGAACTGAGGACTTAGTTGAGCCCCCACCAGCACACCTAAGAGTGAGGCCTGTTCACGGGAGGAATGGTTTCCACAGAAAGTACAGCTGGCCAGCTGTGAAGAAACTTGACCAGAGGGTAAGGGCCCTAACTTGTCCACAGAGCCATTCACCAGATGGGGGAGACATTTGTCTAAAATAAGGTCTGAACAGCTGCAGAAGCTATAGAAACTGCAGTTGGATGGGAAGAACCTGGGCCTAGGATGTGGTGACAGCTAGTCTATGAGAATTCTTGAGACCTTGGGCCAGTGGCTCCTGTGCTAAATTTTAAACAAAGGACTGGCAAACGGAAAATGTTTTTATTTTTTGCCTGTGCTCGGTCTTTGTTGCTTAGTGTCGGCTCTTCATTGGGGCTCACAGGCTTTCTCTAGTTTCCGCTCACAGGTTTCATTGCCCCACGGCATTTGGGGATCCTGGTTTCCTCCGGGATTGAACCCACGTACTCTGCATTGGAAGTTGGGTTCTTAATCATTTGACCTTCAGGGAAGTCCCTGTCTTATAAATTTTTTTCTTTTTTTTACTGTTTGTTTATCTGGCTGCTTCAAGTCTCCATTGTGGTGTGTGGGATCTTTGTTACGTCCTGCAGATCTTTCATTATGGCACATGGACTCTGCGTGTAGCACACAGATTTAGTTGCTCCTTGACATGTGGGATCTTAAGTTCCCTGACAGGGATCAGCCACCTTCCCTGCATTGCAAGGCAGATTCTTAACTACTGGAATACCAGGAAAGTCTCTCTTTTAACTTTCTTAATGGTGTCCTTTGAAGCACAGTTTTTATTTATTTATTTTATGTTTTTGGGTTTAACCTAATGAAAGTATCTTTTTGTTTTGTTTTATTTCATTTTTACTGAGGTATAGTGTTGATATACAGTGTTGTAGTTTCAGGTATACAGTGAAGTGAATCTGTTAGATATAGCCACTCTTTTTTAGATTATTTTCCCATAGCCTATTACATAGTATTGAGTAGAGTTCCCTGTGCTATACAGTAGGTCTTTATTAGTTACCTACTTTATATGTAATAGAAGTGTGTGTGTGTGTCAATCCTCGTCTTCCAGTTTATCTGTTTGCCATCCCATGGCCCCGGTAACCAGTTTTCTACCTGAAACACAAAAGGTTTTAATTTTGATGAAGTCCAGGCTATTTTTTCTTTTGTTGCTTGTACTTTTGGTGTCGTATCTAAGAAACCATCACTTAATCCAAAGTCATGAAGATTTACAACTATCCTTTCTCTTTAGAGTTTTATACTTATAGCTCTTAACATTTAGGTCTGTGGTCCATTTTGAGCTAATTTTTTGTACATGGTGTGAAGTTGGACACTAACTTCATTCCTTTGAAAATCCAATTTTCCCAGTACCATTAAAAGACTTTTCTTTGTCCAGTGAGTTATCTGGGCTCCCTTGTTGAAAACCAGTTGACCATAAATGTAAGGATTTATTTTGGAAGGCTCATTTTTATCTTACTGATATTTGTCTAGCCTTATGCCAGTATCACACAAGGGCTTCCCAGGTGGTGCAGTGGTAAAGAACTGCCTGCTAGTGCAGGAGATGCAAGGAGACACAGATTCAATCCCTGGGTTGGGCAGATCCTCTGGAGAAGGAAATGGCAACCCACTCCAGTATTCTTGCCTGGAAAATTCCATGGACAGAGGAGCCGGATGGGCTGCAGTCCATGGGGCTGCAAAGAGTTGGATACAATTGAGCAACTGAGCGCACACATACACACATGCCCATAGCACAGTGTCTTCATTACTATAATGATTTCTGTAACGTAAGAACACCCTCACAGTATATACATAGTGTGTTTAATTAAAAATATGTGCAGCCACAGACAAGAGGTTGTCACAAGGCTGATGAGTTCATTTAAAATTTAAACAAGTGAATGCATGTATTACTCTTACTGCTTTGAAATGAAAGCATATAAGGTTTCTATACATTAATAATCTCATCTTCACTAATAAAAATACAATGATAACCCCTTTTTATCTTTCAAATTAGCAGAAGGCAGAAAGAATGATCATTTATACTAGCAAGGGTGTGGGAAAACTGTAAATAAATGAGAAGGCCCCATATGTCCTGATAAGGAGTAACCTCGCTGCTGAATAGCATGTCTGCACACTGCAGTTTGTGTTCTAAAGAAATGTGAGGGATGGGGTGCAATTTACACATAACAGCTTTTCCTAGGGAGTTCCATTAGCACTCATGCCAGTTTTACCCCTTTTATACCAGTATTTCTTCTGCCCCTTTTTTATCTCAAACTTCTGCTCAAGTTCCTCTTCAGACTTTGGTGGGGGAACTGTAGAGGTCATTTTATCTCTGATTGCGATGTGGTTCCTTTCTTGTCCACTTTTCATAATATCTTCATTTATCGAGCTTCTTTGGAATGGCTTCCGGGCCCTTCACTTCAGGGACACTCTGATTCAGTTGGTCAGTTTCCTACTGTACTCTTGGCTCACTGTCCCCATGTAGCAGTGAGAATACTCACACGAGTTCTCCTTACCTCGGTTTCTCCACAAGGCTTGCTGGTGGTGAACCTTGCACACTGCTTTAGATTAACTGACTCTCTCACTACCCCTGATATATTTTTTCCTCTAGTGTAAACCCTTTTCCTTCTGCTTAAAATTGTCCATATTTACTGGTGTATGTGTATGTCCATATATGTCCATATATACTTACATATACAAAAACCTGGCAACTGGTTCTAGTAGCCTTTGAGAAAGCCAGCGAGATAAGGATCATTGGATAATGGGTAGTAAGGAGGGAAGTTTTCTTTTCACTGATAGACTCTTGTTTCTCTTGAATTTTATACAGGGCTTATAGCCAGTATTCTACAATAATTTATTGCTTTTTGGCTTCACTGGGTCTTCGTTGCTGCATGCAGGAACTTTCTCTAGTTTTAGCGAGCAGGGCTACTCTTGTTGCAGAGCACAGGCTTTGGAGCAAGAGCTCAGTAGCTGTAGTACACGGGCTTAGTTGCCCCCCAGCATGTGAAATCTTCCCGGACCAGGGATTGAACCCATGTCCCCTTCATTGGCAGGCAGACACTGCACCACCAGAGAAGTCCCTGTAATAACTTTAAATGGGACATAATCTATAAAAATTTTGAATCAGTATGTGGTACACCTGAAACTAATGTAATATTATAAATAAACTCCACTGCCTCAAAAAAATCCCTGTAATATTGGTAAATAAATGATAAAATAAAATATTAATGGAATATAATATGCAGTTCTAGAATGTATATTATTAAATAATAGTATATAAATAGATATTACACCCACTATATTGATGAAAATATAGAGAAGTTAATGATGCAGATTTATGACTAATAAGAGAAGTGTTACTTTCCATTTATTTTATACTTTACAGTTCATATTAGCATTTCTTATTTAATCTTTAAAACATCCCTGTCAGGTAACTGGTTATTATCTTCATTTTACAGACAAGACACTGTCTCTGTGAAAGTGGCAGAACATGAATAAAACACAAATAAGGAAATTAGGGTTCCAAATGGTGAGGTAACGTTAGTCTTACATCTAGTACTCGAATCCAGGTTAAGTGCATTTTCCACTGTGCTGCAGAGAAGAGGAGTCACAGCATATTCCCAGGTTTTTGTGCTTGACTTGATTACTAACCTTTTCCATCATAGATTCCTTGGAGCCCTCATCCAGCACAGAATATGGTGCCATTCAACCTACCAGGGGCCTAGTAGGCCCTAGGGTCTGCCCCATCTCCTATAATGGGCAGGGAGCTTTGGCTTTGGGCACTGAGAATGCAAACCAAACAAGATAGATTTGTACTGTAGCTCAGAAGTTCACCGTGTCTTCTTTTCATTGTTCTAGGAAGAGTTGCAGGCCAACCTGGACCTGATTCAGACCTACAGACTGCATATTGCCCAAGATATCAACCAGGAAAACCTACAGCTCTTCCTGGGTTCCTATAACGGGTACAGTTGTTTCTGTTCCTTCACTTAAATGCAGACGAGGTCTGAGAAGCTAATGGATATTTAAGAGAAAATCAGGAGGGGGGAAGTAAGCTGCTTCTTACAATGTTGTGTGATGGGGTTACTTTCGCACTTTTACCGCAGTGGAAGAGGAAGAGCTTTCAGATAGATATGAAAACAGCTTTCAAGAATGAATGAACTGAATGCTGTTTCAGGCATATTCACCTACCAGTTGTACTTTTAATATGTTTTGAGACCAAAAGGACCTAAAGTTATGTACACACACAAAAACACACAATTTGGGTAACAAAGAAAAATTCATGTAGAGGATAGAAGTTTGGGACCTTAATTCAGTCTCTGCTGATATTCTGTCATCAGGCAGAAGTGAAACATGAACAGTAGTAAATTCTCTTTTGTTTGTGTATTTCCAAAGCTGTCACATTTCCCCTAGTCACTGAGAGAAGCCTGATTCTTATCTTGGGTCCAGCTTCTCCAGTGAAAATGTTAGCTCCTTCTATCTTCCTGGTTATATGGAAAAAGACTGAGGAAATGGGTCAGCTGTAACTTACCCAGAGTTACACAGCCAGCAGGAGCAAAGCAAGTTTTGAATCCAGTCTCTCTAGCTCCTTCCTCTGTATTACAGAGCCTCCTTATTTTTAGCTGAAATCTGAAAGGATATTAAATACTACAATAAACTGTAAGTACCAGGAAAATAGTTCCCCTAAAAGGTTCCCCTTAAATTATTCCTAGGGACTTCCCTCATGGTCCAGTGGCTAAGACTCCACCCTCCCAATTCCAGGGTCCCGAGTTTGAGCCCTGGTCAGGGAACTAGATCCTGTGTGATGCAACTACAGATCCATATGTGGCAACTTAGAAGATTGAAAATCCCATGTGCTGCCAGTAAGACCCAGCACAGGCAAATAAATAAAATAAAAACAAATATTTAAAAAAATTATTCCTGTAAAGTAATTGGAAAATTAGACACTTAGGACTTGAGGATTTCAACAGCATTGCTGTTAAGTTTTAAAGTTGCCTCCTTTCAGCGTCCTACCGAGTTCCTTTTTCCTTCTCTGTTCCACTCAGGATGCCACTGACGAGGCTACTTGTGAAAAAAATCTAAAAAATCTCTTCCCTTGTCAGGTGTGAAGGAAAGATAATTTGCAGATTCTTTGATACCTTTGAGTTTTCAGGAAATAACCTGTGTTGCCATGATTTTACCTGAAACATGCATTGTTTCCTTTGTGTCTCTCTAGACGCAAAGACCTGGAGATTGAAAGACCCATTCTGGGACAAAATGATAACAAATCAAAGACGTTAAAGTAAGTCTCTCGATCTGCCCGCTAAGTTGCTAAATACACTTGCCTTTGATAGATGAAGCCAGTGTTCTGTGGAGTGTATGTGCTCCTAGCTGAGTGTCCTCTTGTTTGCCTTCCCCCAGGTGCTCTACTTTATTGGTGGTAGGTGACAGTTCACCCGCAGTTGAAGCTGTGGTAAGTATGTACTGACATTGTGAAGTTGAGTAAGATGAAATGTAAGTTGTTTGTAGCACACTGCTGATGTACTGGAAGCAGTTGGCAGATACTAGTTTTTGTTATTTCTGATTATGCATATCAGGTTTGTGCTTTGTTATCCAATCTGGAAAAATAATTCCTCATTGATCACTTGGTTTCATCAGAAGGGATCAATAGTGCCCAGACTCTTCTATATGGTACAGTTCATTCGGTGGCAAGTAGTATCACTAAATACCATTTGCTTACCATCAGATTTCTGACAGCCTTGGCCTTCTGCAGTCACCACAAATCTGGAACCATTTCAGCAGGTTGGAAGGTTGCTGAGAGCCTGCGTACTTTTCTCTACCTCTTTCTCGAGCACATAGCACATTGGTAAAAATAATATGTGTTCATTGTAGAAAATTGGTAAATAGAAGGACAGGAGGAAAAAAATTACGATCCCGAAGACAAGCCACCATGTTTTTCTTCAATATAGATGTTGTTATTTAATCACTAAGTCATGTCCAACTCTTTTGTGACCCCATGGACTGTAGCCTGCCAGGCTCCTCTGTCCATGGGATTTCCCAGGCAAGAATACTGGAGAGGGTTGCCATTTCCTTCTCCAGGGGATCTTCCTGACCCAAGGATCAAACTCACATCTTCTGTATTGGCAAGCAGATTCTTTATCACTGAACCACCAGGGAAGCCCCTCAACATAGTTTGGATGATACTAAATATACAAGGTTTGGGGACCTGATTACTTAACACTGTACACTATTCAGTCTTGTAAATACACCCTTGTTTATATAACTTCATTCTTTTGTTGATTATTTATGATTGTGCACCATTAATAATGTTGCCATTGAATATCCATACAGAATCTTTGTCTGAATTTTTGATCATTTTCCTGGGATGAGATGGAAATAATGTGTCAAAAATCATAAACCTTTGTAAGGTTTTTAATGCCTTTTGCCAGATTCATTTCCAGAAAAGATAGAACAGTGTGTTGCTGCTGGCAATGTAGGAGAGTGCCTGTAGCACAGCATGCTGTTCAGCACTGGACTTTTCAATTATTAGTAGTTAATTTGGTCAAAAAGTGGCATCCCACTGTTTTAATTTGCACTTCTTTAATTATATATGAAGCTTTCAGTTTTTCATAAGTCTGTTACCATTTTCTTGTCTTTCCCACATATATAACATAACTTAGGTTTCTGCATGAAATTATCTGGTTTTCTTTGGCCACTTTCACTTCTTTAGCTGAAAAGGTAGAGATACATGTTTTTGATAGATATAAAATACCTATCAAAAACATTTTTTCATGAACATGTGTATTTAACACAGAAAAATACTATTGTTTATAGAAAATATCCTTAATGAGAATTTTCTAATGATGCCGAGTTGTCTTTCTAAAACTACATGGACTTAAAGTAATGTTACCAATTATTTTTCAAGATTGCATAAGTTGGCCATACATATATGGTCTTTTTCTGATTCCATACTTTCAGTGTGTATAGAGAATAACTTCAAAATGCCATCTGTACCACAAACTAGATGCTCTTCTAGACACATTCAAAATTAACTCCCCTGCCCAGAGCCTTTTATCCCCTGAATTGGTAGGGATTAGAGGGCTGTCCATGTGTGGAAGAGGAGGAAGAAACTCTACAAGTTCTAGTCTCCAGCTGTTCTTACTCACTTATTCATTCAGTATCATTTTTTGAGCTTCTTCTGTTTGCTCAGTGGGCTTCCCTGGTGGTTCAGCAGCAAAGATCTGCCTGCCAATGCAGGAGATGCAGGTTCAATCCTTGGGTCAGGAAGACTCCCCTGGAGAATGAAATGGCAACCCACTCCATTATTCTTGTCTGGAAAATCCCATGGACAGAGGAGCCTGGCTGGTCATGGGGTCGCAAAAGAGTTGGACATACTTAGTGACTAAACAGCAAATATTTGTCAGTGTTCTGGAGGATACAAAAATGAATAAGATGGAGTCTTAGCAAGACTGCAAGGAGATCAAACCAATCAATCCTAAAGGAGATCAGTCCTGGGTCTCATTGGAAGGACTGATGCTGAAGCTGAAACTCCAGTACTTTGGCCACTTGATGTGAAGAAGTGAGTCATTGGAAAAGACCCTGATGGGAAAGGAGGAGGAGAAAGGAAAGCAGGAGGAGAAGGGGACGACAGAGGATGAGATGGTTAGGTAACATGACCGATTCAATGGATATAAATTTGAGCAGACTCTGAGAGACAGTGTAGGACAGGGAAGCCTGGCGTGCTGCAGTCCATGGAGTCACAAAGAGTTGGACACGTTTGAGCATCTGAACTGAACTGGAGTCTTAGCAGTTGGACCTGGGGAGAAAGTAGACATGTCAAAAACCAACCATTGTTCTTGTCCTGCTAGATACTGAGCCTTCATCTTACACAGTTACAGAAATTACAAAGTGATGAACCAAGGAAAAAGCATGCTTTATTACATTAAATACAGACTTAGGAGTCATTCTTCCAGAAGATACTTATTGTATATCTAGTATGTTCTCAGCACTTTGCCTGGCATTTAGGGATCAAGTTTCTACATTCTTCTTCTTTTTTTTTTTTTTGGTTGGGCTTGGTCTTAGTTTCTGCTCTCGAGCTTTCTCTAGTTGCAGAGAGCATGGCTACTCTAGTGGTGCATGGGCTCCTCTTGTTGTGGACCACAGGCTCTAGGTGCTTGGGTTTCAGTAGTTGTGACACAGGGGCTCATTAGTGGTGGCTCATGGGCTCTAGAGCATGGGCTCAGTAGTTATGGGGCACAAGCTTGGTTGCTCTGCAACATGTGGCATCTTCCCAGACCAGGGATTGAACCTGTGTCCCCTGCATTGGCAGGCAGATTCTTACCCAGTGTGCTGACAAGGAAGTCCTACATTCTGCCTTTTAGAGCATATTCTGTAGTAAGTAAGCAGGTACGTTTACTGCCTGCATTGGCATTTGTATAAAGAAAAAACCCTAACTTGATGATCCTGGCTTTTAGGTCATCCCCTGATTTTAAAAGTTTTGAGTACCCACCCATCAGCCATCCCCAGAGTAAGCATTCAGCTGGATTACTGGTGCTTGCCTAGGTAATTTTCATGACTCCTTAACTGGCTTGCTGCCTCTGCAGTCTGTCATACAGGCCACTGCTGGTTATTTTCCTGAAACAATTCACATCCCGTCACCTCAGAAACCCTCTGTGACTTCTTGCCTTCCACAGTCAGCTCAAGTTTTCTCACCCTCTCCCTGCAGTTTATCCTCACACCATATGCTGGTCTCTTTAACCCCACACATGCCCAGCGTACTCACCTTGCATCCCCTGGGTCTTAGCTTCTGCTTCCCCTGACTCTGGAAGCCTTCAAATGCCCACCCCTTCTTACTCTAGCTGTAGAAATCCTGTTTATCTTTCTGTCTCACGCAGCTCAGAGTGAAGTTTTCAAGTACTCTCATTCTGCCTCAGGGCTTCCCTAGTGGAATCTGCCTGCAATTCAGGAGACACAGGCGTTCGATCTCCAGGGTGGGAAGATCCCTTGGAGAAGGAAATTACAACCCACTCCAGTCCCTGGGAAATCCCATGGACAGAAGAGCGTGATGGGCTGCAGTCCATAGGATTGCAGAAGACTCAGACACGACTTAGTGATTAAACAACAACATTCTGCCTTGTGTTGCATGCTTTTGCCCCTCTAGATTCTATGCTCTTAACATGGTGTTTTATATGTGTGCTTGGGCAAGCGTGTATAAAGAAGAGATCTAGTGGATCAGGTTAACCATAAAACATTGTTGAACCATTAAACAACCTCCCCAGAACATTTTCTTTGAGGTCCCCCTGCTGCCTCCAGGGCGAAGGAGAGTGTTGGGGAATGGGCAGGGAATGGGCGCAGGGGAGGGTCGGGGAATGGGAATGGGCTCAGGAGAGGGTTGGGGGAATGGGTTCAGGGGAGGGCTGGGGAGTGGGCGCAGGAGAGGGTTGGGGAGTGGGAATGGACGCAGGAGAGGGTTGGGGAATGGGCGCAGGGGAGGGCTGGGGAATGGGAATGGGCGCAGGGGAAGGTTGGGGGAATGGGTGCAGGAGAGGGTTGGGGAATGGGCACAGGAGGTGTGAGGCTCAGTCATAAGGACTGGCTGTGCTGGGGAATCATCAGGACCTCAGCAGGTGAGGCCCAGAGTTCACTTTTTTTTTTTTTTTCTTATTTTATTTTATTTTATTTATTTATTTATTTATTTTTATCACAACCATAGTGTATCTTTTTTTTTTTTTTTTTTTTACATGTATTCCCCATCCCGGTCCCCCCTCCCACCTCCCTCTCCACCCAGTCCCTCTGGGTCTTCCCAGTGCACCAGGCCCGAGCACTTGTCTCAGAAGGAGGTAACTTGCCCTGCTGCTGCGTAGCCATAGGAGGAATTAGATTCAAAATGTAGCTCTTTAAAGACTCTACTCCAGAAAACAAACTTAGCCAGATTTTTAGATCTACTAAGAAATACAAGATATAAAGTATATCATGTAAATATATCTCCCATTTTTTATTTTGGTAATTTCTTTGGCTGGTTCAACCAAAACTTGAGTTTCTCCCAGCTGAGCTTCTTGAAAGATCCTCCATGTGCCAAGTTGTTTTGTATTTAGCAGTTCATAAAATTGTCTTTCTCTGTTTTTTTTTTTTTTTTTAGGTTGAATGCAATTCTCGCCTGAATCCTGTAAATACAACTTTGCTAAAGGTAATGTTTTTCCTTTCCTCACTGCCAACCATTAGAGTAAATTATATGTGGTTCAAATCACTTTATTTCTGGAATAGTTGCCCAGAAACAAGGAAAACTTCTTTCCCTCATTCTCTTTTTTTTTAAATTATTTTCCTAAATATAGTCTCAGTATAGAAAATTGGAAAATAGAAAAAAGAATGGAAATATAGAAAGAATAAAATAAAATTACTCCTAATCCTGCCACCCACAGGGGTTACCCTCTGGTAAAAAAAAAAATATATATATATATTGGTTTTTTTCCTGGGTGGTGAGGGGCTGTACTGGGTCTTCGTTGTGGTGGATGGGCTTCTACTACTGTGGAGCAGAGGCTCTGGAGCACATGGGTTCAGTAGTTGTGGTGCTCAGGTTTAGTTGCTCCGCCGTATGTGGGAACCCAACTCCCTGACCAGGGATCAGACCTTCATCCCCTGTGTTAGAAGGCTTATTCTTAACCACTGGACCCCTGGAGAAGTCCCTCTTATTCATTTTTAAATAATTAAGATTATAGGCTCTTCCTAGCCCTGTGTCTGTTTTCCTCAACTTTTTGACATGTAAACATCTTCCTGTGTCATTGAAAACTTCATAAGCATTATTTAATGTTGTGAAATATTAGATAATGGATGGAAATTCTTTATAAGCTAAATTCCCTTGTATGGATAAGAAAGTTTTCCAGTAGCATTGTCACAATGAGAGTAGATGCGTTTTCTGGAGCCTATAGTGGAATATTTAAGGGCCTGACCTCCTGGTCTGAATTTGTATTACAGTATATTTAAGTGCTAAACTTATGTTGCCTACTGCTGCTTTCTCAGCCTGAAAGACCTCTGCTTTCTTCCCTTTTTCTTTGAAGTGCAGTTAAAAGGGGAGTGCTGCCACTGTAAGCAGCCCATAGTTCCTGGAAATAAAACACGAGGTTAACTTTCTGATGTGACAAAACTCAGAGTGTTCTAGGGTCCAGGTGATTGATGAACTAGTTAAAACATGAATTTTTTTTTTTATAAGTATGTGGTTTCAGATTAGCCTTTCAATGCAGGTTTGAATCAGTTTTCTAAAAGTGCAGAACTGAACTTTACAGTAGCCACAGGTGTGCTTATTTCTGGGCAGAAATGCCCATCCCACAGCAGCGTGATGGAATTCATTCTCTGTTTGATAGGTATCCAGCTCAGAAATAGTTCTTTCCAGTACTGTCTCTGCGTATGAGAACTGTTTTACTGGTTCTAATCATATTTTGACTCCTAAACTTCATGAAAATAACGGGCTGGGCTAATTAAGTCTGTTTTATACTTAAATCAGGTTAAATGTTTGTTCCTGATCTTATACTTAGAATTTTCAGGGAGCTGACTATTCCTTGTTAACCTCAGATTCCTGTGCCTCCTGTGGCATTCCCATCTGCAGAATAACAGTCTACCCTCAAAGTTTTCATGTTAGTGAAGGTTTCCTGAGGTTCCTGTCTCTTTTCTAAAAAGTGCCTGGATACGCTACTCTGTGAGTGTGGAAAACCTCACAAGTGGAAGGAAGAAGGTGGCCTGGTGATCGACCATTGTGCCCCAGAAGCAGCGTCCTCTGTGGATTGGCAGAGTATGCATCTCCAGGGCTTGTTAGAAATGCGAATTCTTGAGCCCTGCTCCAAAGCTATTAAATAAGAATCCCTCAGGCAGGAACTTGGAGTTATAATCCCTCATGGTTATTCCCATGCATGATAACAAAGCCCTACTCTAGAAATTTTTGTGCAGATGACAGTAATCAGTGTGTAAAGATTTATGAAGTGAGAGAGAGCCTCATCACTTCAGCAGTGAAATTAAAGTGGCTGACCAAGCAGGTTGGCTGAATGCAGCATCAGTGCCTGATTGTAGACCTCCCCTTAGTCATGAAGTAGAGATAGTGTAGAGTTGAGAGGGAACTTTTAAGAGTTTGGTGCCCTGAGAAGTAGGGGTCACACTGTTTGAGGACTCTGAAAGTAAATCCTCCAGGTAGAGGCAGAACCAAGGTAGTAGTTAACTTTATTATCACTCGAGTGGAAAATTCCTGAAACGGACCTGAAAGCCGGGCCCTGCACTACTGATTAATAAATAGTGAATAATCTTTCAGAATTATATCCAAAGTTATTGCTAGAATTTAGGTCTGTGTATAAGAGCACATTGAGGACGGACTTCCCTGGTAGCTCAGTGGTAAAGAATTTGCCTGCCAGTGAAGGGGGGATATGGTTCAATCCTTGATCCGAGAGGATCCCACATGCCATGAAGCAGCTAAGCCCGTGTGCTGCAACTACTGAAGCCCACAAACCCTAGAGCCCACACTCCACAGCAAGAGAAGCCACTGCAATGAGAGGCCTGCGTTCTACAACTAGAGAGTAGCCCCCGCTTTCCACAACTAGAGAAAGCATGAGTGAGGCAATGAAGACCCAGTGCAACCAAAAATAAATTAATTAACTAAAAAACAAAAAGAGTGCATTGAGAAGATGGACACTGGGGTGCAGTTAAACATTGAATTAAGGAACCTAAAATTTGACTCTGTCCTGTTTGACAGGACCCTGGATACTCAGAGCATTTCCCTCCAGTGTATTCAGTTCTCAGGTGACTTAAATGTTTTTCCCTGTAGATGGCAGACTGTGGTGGACTACCCCAAGTGGTTCAGGTAAGGAGACTTTTTAAAAAGCACCCATTTGATTTCAGCTCTCTGTCCGTGCAGTGATTAATAGCTGCTTCTTTTGTGTCCCTAGCCTGGGAAGCTCACCGAGGCCTTCAAGTACTTTTTGCAGGGAATGGGCTACAGTGAGTAGTATACAACTTTCTATTCTAACCAAGATTTATTGATAAATGGGGTCATTTTGGCATCTGAGGAGCACTCAGTTCTCAGGGCGTAACCTCTGTGCTAGCCAGGCTGAAGTCAAGTAGAAACCAAAATTTTTTATGAAAGATTATTCTGTGCATATATACAAAGATGAGCTAATGCTTACTGAGCACTTACTTTGTGCCAGGCACTCTGTATTCTTAACCTTAAAAGGTAAGTTCTGCTATTAGTCCCATTTTATAGAAGAGGAAATTGAGGCTTAGAGGCTAAGCATGTTTCTCAGGATAACAATTCAGCTGCAGAGCCATGATTCAAACCCTGGCAGTCTTAACTACAGAGTCCACATGTTCAACCACTGAGGCTTCGGCAGTCCTGGCTGTGAATCTGAGGTTGTTACTTCCATTTGAACTTAGATGGATGACTCCTGGCCTAGAGAAACAAGTTAAATCAGTGAAGTCTGCTCCCCACAGGAGACAAACTTGCAGAGTGTTTCAGAGTGAATCCAAGGATGTGTTGTATCATGTGCCACTGTCTTGGTCTCTTATATTGTGAGACCCCTGAGCTTTCTCATTTGTCCCAGGATAATCCTTACTGTCTCCTTTCTTGGAGTTTTAAAAAAAGGATAAAAACCCTTCTACCCAGGTACAGAGCTCTGTATCCAGTAGGGTGATTTTTCTCCTGTCTTTGGTGTCAGTGTGATTAATGACCCCTGGGCAGCTGCTCTGGGCAGCAGCTGGACCCCTGGGTACAGGCCTGTACCTGGCAGGCAGCCCGTGTATGTCTCGTCTGGAATGGCCATGTCATCCCCATCTGTGAGCCACTACCAACCGAGCCCACACCCCTGTCCCTCTGGCTCGCTGGGAGGAGTGGAAGTCCCTCTCCTTTCCCAGGAAGCAGTTCATCCAGGCAAGTTGGCTGTTTATAGTGAGGGAAAAGCAGTTGCCTTTGATTAGTTGAGAGAAGTACCATCCGAGATATTATTGAAGCATCAGTTGGCCTTTCCTCCTTTCTGGTACCTTAGAATAAAACTTCAACCCTGGCTTAGTTTGTTCTGTCAGTGTCTGCCAGGTAGCCAAGTTTACCACTTAGCACTCTCGGGTCACTAACCTGCCTTTTCCTGTGTCCATCCTGCTTCCAGTCCCGTACGTGCAGCTCAGTCATCTGAGCACCGAGTCAGGTACCTCCCTCTGAGCTGGCCCCGCGCCTGCCTCCCAGCCATGCTCTCCTGGCTGCACTGGCTGCCCGCAGCATGTCCGTGGTTTCCCTGTGCGGTGAGAGCCCGATAGAACGCGGCTCATTGTGCCCCGAGAGAGGTAGCCTGCTGGTCCAGCCCTGGTCCCCCAAGAGTAAAGGGGTGGGTTGTAACAGCCAGGGTCACAGCAGCAGCTGAAACTTCACAGGGAGCCCTTCTTCCACCACCACCACCTACTGAGTGATCCTTGAGTTAACTCCCAGACACAGGGTTCTCAATTACGAGGGTCGGAGCCTATGCCCGGAGAATGCAGGTACTGACATCTTCTGACCCCGGCATTGAAATGACAGCTGGAGGAGTGGCTCATGTCTTAGAAGGACAGGCAAGGAGGTAGGCCAGGTTAGGCCCTTTCCTAGCCAAGCTGGAAGGACTTACAGCCAGAGCAGTGGCACAACAGCAGTCTGACTTAAATAGACCCCTGGTGGGCTTTCTCCCAGTCAGCCTGCACCTCGGTGCCTGTGTAGAGGCCAGCTCCAGGCCCAACTGCCCTCCCTGCCCCTCACCTGCCTACATGTCTCCTCCCCAGGTAGCAAGGGTCACCTGTGGACACGGATGGTAGTCTTGTTGTATCGGGCTTGCACTGTGTGTGTGAAACACCTTCGTACTTGTGTGGTGTGATTTGTCTTTCTTTGGTTTAGTCTTGCATGCATCGCAGGTTTTGGTTACCTGTTTGGGTTCCCAAAGCCTTCTTCCTAATCACCGTATGGATGGCATGGGCATAGCTAAGAGGTTATACTCTGGACTTAGTTTACCCATTGTTCTGCTATAGACTAGAACCATCTGAGATTTCAGCCAGATCCAGAGGATTAAAGCAGCCTTGCCTAGAGCCCCTCACCTAGAGCAAAGTGGGATGGCTGTGTCTCATCCTGGTGTCACCTTAGATGATGGGTTGGGAAAGCTACATGTAAAGCCTTTGGTGAAACTTCTGGGTTAGCTGAGCTTAACCACAGCTCTATCCTCTAGTCCTCTCCGTTCTCTCTTGCAGTCCCATCTGCCAGCATGACCCGGCTCGCCCGATCCCGAACCCACTCCACCTCAAGTAGCATCGGCTCTGGAGAAAGTGCCTTCAGCCGATCTGTTGCCAGCAATCAGTCAGACGGAACTCAAGAATCCTCTGAGTCCCCTGATGTTCTGGACAGACACCAGACCATGGAGGTGTCCTGCTAAGCAAATGCTCCTCCCCAGGACCATGCAAGTCCATCCTCCTTCAAACAGCCACTCCATAATATAACACTTCATCCAGCAACCTGGCATCTATCTTTAACTCCTGCATGGCCACTCACTCTCTCTTTCTGGTATCCTGGATTTATCATCCTCTCTGCCTGCCCACCCCCCTTTTTGTATGTACCAAGAACCACTTCCATGCCATTTCTGTAACATTCCAGCCTCTTTAGCTGATCAGATCTCCATATCTTCTCTTACCAGCTTTTCCCTGTGCTTTCCCAACTATGTATCTAAGATTCTTTGATCCTAACGTATGTGTGTGAGCACGCGTGTCTGTGTTTGTGTGTGCATAGTTTTGTGATTTTAGACATGCTTTCTTGTAGAGCTTCTGCAGACAAAAATGAAAAAAGGGACTCTCTTTTTTTGCATTTTCAGTGGTGTTTTTAGGAGAAATATGCAGAACAGTTTTCTAGGTTGAGTAGGCCATTACATTCTCTTTCGGTTCCTTGCTGATGGTCAAGATTTGCGAAGTGACTTCAGGAGAGAGCAGATCTGAGGAAGGTGGAAAATCATAATTCCTGTTTGGACAGTTGATTATGACCAACAGAAGGAAGCCTGCTACATAGAAAAACAGGCCAGGTGGCCAGCCACCTTCTCCTGTCCAGTTGAATTCATGTGCCCTCCAAATAAAAGGAACGGATATGTTCTCTTAGAAGCCCATGAACGATGACATTCTGATGCAATGTGGCATTTTTCTGAAGGAATGAGTGTGGCTTAATTATTAGACTCTCAGCGCAGGAAGGTGGAAAACGAAATTCCAGGCCTCTGCTCTGTCAGAGCAAAATTGATCTCTCTGCAGTGTCCGATGCCACACACCAGACATCGGAAGGAGGCACTTCCCAGGAGAAGAACTCTCCATCTTTCCATCCCCCCAGAAGGGAGAAGTATGGCCTGAAAATTATATAGATGTTGAGGAAATGGCTGGAGAGAGAGGAACAGACAACACAATAAGTTGCTTTATAAGTATAACCTTGATTTCAGAAGACTTAATGGAGCCTAAATGAAAGATAGAACCCATTTCTCAGAAAGTTAATCCTGTGAACTCCCTCTTGTAAGAGGGAAGGGGCCATAAGGGCACCCCATCCAGGTAGAATTGTGTTCGGTCTGCTGCTATATGAGGGGGTCACAGCCACCCAGAGAGTGTCTCCAGGAGGAGTGTGAAAACAGTTGCCACCCAGTAAGGGTCCCGCTTTGACAGCACAGAGATGTCAGCTCAGGGTTACACAATTTCAGTCCTAGGAAGGGGCTTTTCAGACATAGCATTCGCTTTCTGCTCAGATAGGGAATGCATCACTCTGCCGGAGTACGACTTTTTACAGATGACGAAATAAAGCTGTATATGTCTCATTGTTACCCAGTGGCTGGTGTGACTTCTCTCAAGCCACTTCCTGGGGCTCTGGTGGGAACTGCACATGGGCTTCATACTGGGTCACATACCTGATGATTATCCACCCAGCGACACCATCCACTTACAGTGAGGAAACCAAGTCCGGGATTAATCATCTGCCTGAGATCATCATGCCAGTAAGCCAGCTGGGATTGAACCCTGAGTCCACCTGACACACCTGTATTCCCCTCAAATGAAAAACCATAAGAAGCTTGATCGTGTGGTTTGTGATGGAGGAGAAGCTGAGGTCTCAGGAAGGCATTCAGCATCTCAGCTCTGCCCTTCATGCACGGTTGCCGCGTCCCACCCCTCGTGCAGTAATCCGCAGCCACCTGCCAGGGCGCCACCAACAGACCAGGCTGTGTTTCTCTAGAAGGGGCTCTTTGTACCCTGCCCCTCAAGAATAATTCCAGGGGGGTGGCTATCCTAGATCAGTTCTGAATGATCCAGGGGCGGCGGCTCCCAGTACACCCAGGTCGCAGTGTCTGTGGGAGGTTCTTGTAAAATGACTCGGCCCTGCCCCTCCTAGTCCTAGTAGAGGACAGAAAACCAGTGCCCGTGAGCAGATCAGGTGTCCGCGCTGAGTTCCTGACACCGTCCAACACGCAGTTGCAGAGCTGCAGGTGGTCTGATGGCCACGGCTGCTCTGAGAACCCGCCCAGCTCCAGCCGTCTGCATGGCGCGGATGGCTGCCTCTTTCCTGGCTTGGCTTTGTGCCTGGAGTCAGGCCCCAGCTGACTACACCCAGCTGGTCCTTCCCACACTCATCCTCTTCTCATTTTCATTTTCTTTCTTTCTATTCAATATTTTAAGAAAAAAAAGTTGGAGCTCATACTTTGTGAGAGGTAAGGAAGTGGCCAGGTAGATGCTACACACGATGACTGTATTAAGCTTTTCTGTGTAAACTGTCTCACCCAGTTCTTGTGGCAGCTCTGCGAAGTGGGCAGTGCATTTTACAAAGAACAGTTGAGGAAAGTCAGGTGGTGTCGCCAGAGACACCTACTCGACAAGGTTCCTAGTTCTTCCAGAATCAGTGCATTTTCATGTTTTATTAAGGCTTTTATTGAGCACCCACTGCAGATCGAGCCCTTTCATCATCTTGCGTGACCCTCCTCTGACCCAGGAAGGTAGACCTATCGCAATTTTATGGATGAGAAGACAGGCCCAGAGGTAACTAACTTAAAAATAGTCAAGAAACTAATAGAGCAGCACATCTAGGCTTTAAACTCTCTGATTTTCAGGTGCCTCTCTGAGTGGAACGGGAGAGCATATGGTGGGATTATTTTGAGACCAGAGATGTCATTCCCTGCTCATGGACCGCTCCTTAAGGCCAGTGCGAAAGGCTGTTTGTCAAATGGAAAGATGGACATCATAGTGGTGTGGCGGCAAGAGCAGGGGGTTGGGCCTGCGATCAGGTCCATCCCAGCCACAGGCCACATCCTTGGGGGGCCGTCACCCACTCTAGCATGCTGGTTAGAACTTCCTTAAAGAGGGGAGGCCCTTCCACTCTGGCCCTCCACTCTCCACGCCACATGCCTCAGTAGTTAAATCTCAAACAATCCTTCCCCAGGAGAAAGGGAAGACCATGAGCCCAGGTACAGCAAGGCCCCAAAACAGGCTGCATTGTCTGTGAATGACAGTTTTGTGTTCAAAGCATCTGTCTCCAGGATTGCTAAGCCCCCTAAAGGGGAGATAACGAGTGGGTGTGATTATTTAGATACTAATGAGCTGAGGTTTTTATTTAAATTTATTTGAATGTTAATAACTGATTTAAGCACACCAATCCGAGACAGTTTTATCAGAGATTCTTCATCCTAGCAGAGTGAGTCTCAAGGTTAGGGAATGCATCATAAGGATCACCTGGAGGGCTTGTGAAAATAGGTTGCTGGCCCTCACCATGGAGTTTCTGATTAGGTAGATCTAACATGGGCCCTGAGAATCCTCCTATGAAATGAAGTCCCAGATGATACTGAGGCTACTGGCCTAGGGACCACACTAGTAGAACCACTGTCCAGGTCCTGCTATGCACAGTGCGGCTCCCAGATGGTCAACATGGTTTTATCCACTGGGAGTTGTTAGCAGTGCAGAATCTTGAGCCCCACCCAGACTCACAGAACCAGAATCTACTGTTTAACAAGATCCCCAGGGGCTTCCTAGACACAGGAAAGGTTGGGACACATCCCTTCATGGCACTGCTTCCCATACTTGCCAGCCAGAGGAATCTCTCGGAGTGGTGAAGATTCAGAGTCTGGTGGCTGCTTCTCTTCTGACTTGGATTCAGAAGATGTGGGAGGGTCCCAGAGATCTGAGACTAGCGAGCCCCCTCAGGTGATGGTGACGATCAGGGAAGCCTGGCTACCCACTTACCTTGGGTCTTTGTCCCTCAGAACAGACCCAAACCCCAGAGCCAGATGAGAAACCTCTCTCTCCAGGATCGTGACGCGGCAGCTGCTTCTCCCCCACAAACAGGAACTTGGGGAAGGTGGCTCCTTGATGGTCTGTGATGCCGTCAGAGGAAACGGGTGGTTGTGAGAACCACAGAGCCTGCAGATGTGAGCCGGGAGCCCCAAGGACCCTGCAGCAGAGCTCAGAGATGCGGGTCCTGCTTCCCCACCTGGCTGTACTTGACAGGGCCACCTAGCCAGAGGTCTCTGAGGAGCACGGGGCTCCTGTCCCATCCCCGGGCTACAGACCGCTACCACAGGCAGATGCCGAGCTCCCCAAAGCTCCCTGAAGACTCTCACAGGCCAAGAGGTTTCTGGGTGGCCTAGAAGCAAGGACGTTGGCAGACTTCCAGAAGACTTTCCACCCCACCGAGAGCTCCAACCTCTTCAGCTAAAGCATGCATCTTAGCTGGGCCCCCGCCCCAAGACTCTGATGACAGGAAGCCAGTAAGTATGCTTGTTTGTGTTTTCCGATGGCCTTGGGACTGTGAGGAAGGATGGTCCCCTCAAGACGGAGTGGGCTGTATGGTTGGACAATAAGCTCAAGGGGAAGGGGAGTTGGTTCTGCTGAGGCTGTGAGAAGCAGCTTCTGAGGGTCCTCCTCTCCCCCTTTGTTGTTCCCTCCAGCTGCTTTTCCTTCTGGTCCCATTCTGGTCCCGTCTCAGTTCCCAACTTGCTGTGCGACTTGGTGGCCCTCTCTGAGTGATAGCTGTATGGTGTCAGTGGATACGAGGAGTCTAGATTATAACCTCTGAAGGCATGTTCAGTTCTGGAGTCTACAGTTGCTCTCAAAAAGGTCTTAAGCTGATCTTTCTCAGCTAAAAGGGAGGGCAGGGGTTCTCCCTTTAGCTCAGTCCAAATCTGTGACTTAACCTCCACCACTGAGAAATGATCTTCAGAAGCACACACTCACAGAAGACCGAGGTCACCTTCTCTGGGCCCTGGTCACTGTTTGGAATGGTATCCAAACTCTGCCGAGCTCTCAAAAGGTCAAGTGCGGTGATCAAAACAATGTGGGCCATGTGCTGACCTCAGCTGTCTTTAACTCTTTCCTTCTGCTCATGCCTGGGCCCCTGCAAAGTGCCTAACATGAGTAAGTTGTTCAGAAACTT